CCCTCCCATCGCCCCGTACCAGGGGAACCCAGAGCTTGAGGCCAGAGAGCAAGAAGAAGTGGCTAGGACAAGGGTGAACATAAGAGACAAGAGCCTGGGCTGTCCAGCCCAACCAAGGGCTCAGGTCAATGAGGCAAGCGAGCCTGGAGCGTCAGGGGTTGCCTGGACACCCCTTGCATGGGGATTCGTCGCAGCAACCCCGCTTGAAGGGACCAGGCTGGAGTAGGGTTCAAGGAAAGAGACTTCAATGCTAAACCTAAGGTACAGGAGTAATACTCTAGTCTTTATATACTGTGGGCGCTAGGGGCCGATCGGGCCCGCTGAGGGTCGATCAGAAGGGAGCAGGGGATGTCTCTGGTCGTCCCTGGTCGCTCCGCTAGGAGCCCAGGGACCATTCCTCTGGAAAGGAGCCATGCCAATGTCGACACTAAGGAGTGTTTGACAATGCAACAGTAAGGAGCTCCCTCCTGGACCCTGTGGTTGTCTAGGGCCGATTGGGCCCGCTGTCAAGGGCGTCCGGCGGCGCATCATGATCCCTGATGGCGGGTCATGATGGCTTGATGGCTGACTAAAGCGCGATCCGTGATTATGTCCCTTCTCTGGGATATTAGTGTTGTTGCTCATTGCTTTGAGCTTGTGAATTATGAGGGCTTGTCAAGCCCTAGGGCTCTAAGGGTGGTGAGGGTCCGATGGGCCGTATAGGGCCCGTTGGCCCGACCCGAACCCTGACATCACCCCCCACTAGGTGAAACTCGTCCCGAGTTTTATCGTCCGATTTCCGTATTCAATTCCGAATTGTTGAGAAAAAAATTTCGTCATTCGCATGTAGATGCCTTCTCGTCGAAGGGCTTAGTCGATTCCTCTCTCGCGTCCAGGCCCCAGTCGCGTCCTCCCAAAGGATGATCAGACATCCTGACGCTCTCCTGGGTCTCCCCCGTTCCCGTTCCTGGCCGGGCGGAGGTGGTCGTACACCCCATCCGGTCCAGGCGCTGCGCCTAACCTCCCAGCACTCCTCCCCATCGCCTGTTGCCCCAGGCGCGCCTTTTGCGAGGGATGATCGGACATCCAGACGCTTCTGAGTCTCCCCCATTTCTCCCGTTCCTAGCCGCAGAGGGGACGATCGGACATCCCTTGCGGGCCAGGCGCTACTCCTAACCTCCTAGCACTCCTCCCCTACGCCTTGTGTCGAAGTTGGGCTCGGCGACGGCTCGACGCCGTCGTTCTCGGTCACGTGCTTCCCACGTGTGCGTTCCTCCTACTGGGGCGCATGTTCCCTGTCGTCACGTGCTGCGTGCTACGGGCCCGCGATGGCCCGACACCAGCGCCCGGAGCGGACGGGCCGGGTCTTATCCGTGACATCGCCCCCTCCCTTGGAACGACTCATCTCGAGTCGGCGTGGCTTGGTCGCCCCGGTTTCTCGGGGTGTTTGGTTGTTCACATTTTCCGAACACTGGCTTCCAATTACATGCTGAGCATTGGCTGCGCGTTTTTAGACCTTTCGTAGCTTCTCCTGTTTGCGTAGTTTCAGCCCGGTCCGGTCCAGTGCGTCCGCGCATATGCAATGTTCAATCTCGTTGCCAGTCGAAGCCCAGAGGCGATGGGGTCGCTATGACGACACCTAGCCATCCCTCTGTCCAGCCTCCAATTTTGGGGTGTTATTGTCCCCGGTTTTTTGCTGCCAGTGTGCAGCCACCCCGTTCCAGGGGTCATCGTTGTTTTTTCATATATGCAGATTTGGCCCATCAGTTCGTCGGGGCCCGTCAGGCCGATTCGGGCCGATGTGGGCCGAATCGGGCCGATTCAGGTCATCGATCCCATCATCTTAGTCGTATGAGGGTTTGAACATCAATTCACACGGTTTTGGGTTTGTCTGGTTGAAGGCCAGCACCTTTGAACGAAATTTCCCACGGTTGGGAAAGGGGTGACGTTCGGGCGCACGGGACGGGTCTCTTGCTAGTGAAAAGAGCCTGGGTCTGCTTCTTCCCCCAGCGCTCCCAGAGTGGTTTTCCACTCTCCTTGGCTGCTATAGAGGTGGGGACGGACTCAACGTTTCCCGTGCCTCAAGCGCCGTTCACCGGAGTGGACGCCCCATGGCAGAAAGAAGTTGCAGCCCAGAAGTCGACATCTGGGGGAGCCGATATTCCTTACCTCGGCGCCAGGGTACGAGAATTCGAAGAAGAGGGTATAGGGAAAGAATTTGCCGAGTAGGGGCGAAAGAAACAAAGGTTTGTGTTCGGACCAACGGGTCATCGGGCCCGTAGATTGACAGGCCAGACTTCGAGTCGGGCCGCGCAAGGTCTCCTAAGAACGCACACCAAGAACAAAACAGACGGATTGTCGGGCCCGCGAGTATGGCGGCGGGGTAGATTTGAACCGAAAGGGCCCGTTAATTCGGTCCCTTGTCGTTGTCGGTGATCGAAGGTTCGAATCGGGTCGTTTCGTCTTGTCGTTAGGCGCAGAAGGTATGGAAGAACTCCTTAACCGGAGTGGACAAGTGGAGCAGGTTTTGACCTGTTCCCAGGAGTTTTAACACGAAGGGGCGGACTCCTCAACCCATAAGACGAATGGAGCAAAAGTTGTTGGCTCCCAGGAGTTTCAAGACGAAAGGGATAACTCCTCAACCCATTGGACGAAGTGCCGACACATAGAGTGGTCGTTCAGCACAGAAAGGATGCTCCAAGAACTTGAGCTTTCCAGAGAGCGCCCCACACTTGAAAGAAGGACAGTAAAGGAGGTTTAGCATTCTGTCAGGAACAGGGCCGGCCCGGGCCCACGTGACGGTCTCCTGCCAGTCTGACAAGTGTGGGAAAGATGGTTCAACCCCCATAGCTGGGTGGTTGGCAACCAGGCAGCGTAGATGGTGCCACTGCTGCAATAGAGAGCAGGGTAGGGACAACTCGGGGCGACTCGAGACGCCCCGCTGTCACGTTGTGTGACAGCGGTGTCACAGGATACGAGTAGTCGCCTAGAGTGTCCTACCCCTGCTGAAGGGAACGAGTCCATAGCCAAAGAGTGCTGCCTAGTAGAGTCGGTGCCCAAGACATAGGGCAAGGCATAGGCTGGGCCAGTTGAACAAGCCGTTCGGGCGGGGCGTGACGTAACGCGGTCACGCCCGACGGTTCGGGGGGTCGAGGGGAGTCGCCCCGCAACCCCTGTTGCGGGCCCGAGACCCCTGGAGCGCTTGAGAAGGGTTGCCAGTCCAAGGGGCGACATATCTCCTTTCCTGGAGTGACGAGTCGCTGTGGCTCCTAGACACCGCGTGACGGCGCGGTGTGACGCGTGACATGCGGGCCCGATCGGGCCCGCACCCTCCCATCGCCCCGTACCAGGGGAACCCAGAGCTTGAGGCCAGAGAGCAAGAAGAAGTGGCTAGGACAAGGGTGAACATAAGAGACAAGAGCCTGGGCTGTCCAGCCCAACCAAGGGCTCAGGTCAATGAGGCAAGCGAGCCTGGAGCGTCAGGGGTTGCCTGGACACCCCTTGCATGGGGATTCGTCGCAGCAACCCCGCTTGAAGGGACCAGGCCGGAGTAGGGTTCAAGGAAAGAGACTTCAATGCTAAACCTAAGGTACAGGAGTAATACTCTAGTCTTTATATACTGTGGGCGCTAGGGGCCGATCGGGCCCGCTGAGGGTCGATCAGAAGGGAGCAGGGGATGTCTCTGGTCGTCCCTGGTCGCTCCGCTAGGAGCCCAGGGACCATTCCTCTGGAAAGGAGCCATGCCAATGTCGACACTAAGGAGTGTTTGACAATGCAACAGTAAGGAGCTCCCTCCTGGACCCTGTGGTTGTCTAGGGCCGATTGGGCCCGCTGTCAAGGGCGTCCGGCGGCGCATCATGATCCCTGATGGCGGGTCATGATGGCTTGATGGCTGACTAAAGCGCGATCCGTGATTATGTCCCTTCTCTGGGATATTAGTGTTGTTGCTCATTGCTTTGAGCTTGTGAATTATGAGGGCTTGTCAAGCCCTAGGGCTCTAAGGGTGGTGAGGGTCCGATGGGCCGTATAGGGCCCCGTTGGCCCGACCCGAACCCTGACAAAAACTAACTATTTTTCCCAGATTTTTGCCGCCGGAGGCCAATGAAGCTGCCTGGACTGTCAGCCACTTTCCCCCTGCACCGTGCTCTGCTACTGTGGGCTAGCCGCTTCTCGATCACCTGTCGGCTGGACCCGGCACCGCCATCGGCATTGTTCGGCTGATGCGATCATCAGATTTTGATGGTATTCTGGGGAGCATTCCGGCGGTGTTTTTGCGCAATCTGAGGCTCATTTTCTTGTGGGTCTTTGCTGCCAGAGGCATGAATAACGGGTGGCCTAGCAGCGCTGCGCTGCCCGTTGGCTCGATAGGTCATCATGGTGTTCGGCTGGTAAGCCCCTGATCCCCGCCCAGACTTTGACACAGGAAGCTGTGCCGTACTCGGATCACTCTACTCATCAGATTTTGATGGTATTTTGCCGTGCGTTCGAGGCCCTCTTTTTTGCAATTCAAAGCTCAATTTTTCACAGGTTTGGGCCGCCGGAGGCCTACGTTCCCGCCCCCGCTGTCAACCACCTCGGCACAGCTGTAACCAACCGGGCCAGCCCCATCTTACTTCTCCTGCGCTGTCCGAGCCACCCCGGCATTCCGTTCCATCACCATGTCCGCCTTGCCCGCTCTCGGCATTCCTTCCCTGTCGTTCAAACCCGACTTCTCCCTTGCGAGTCAGCTATCATGCTGCGCTACCCGTCTTACGCGAACGTTGGGTCCCGGCCTGGCCTCACTCGCTACTTGCGCCGACCTCCTCCGCGCGATCGTCTAACTGTTGCCGCCCTACCGCTTTTCGCGCTCTTTACTGTCATTACGGACGTCTCGGCCCCAATTTGATGGTATTTCTGAGGTACATTTTGCGCCATTTTGACGCAATTCAAGACTCATTTTTTCGTAGGTCCGAGCCGCCGGAGGCCAAGGTGCTGCCCTGACTAGCAACGCTGCCGGGACAGTGTTGGCCACTGTTGCGCAGTTATCGGCGGGATGGAGTTGGGCATTGGATTGGGAGCTGACGCGGCGCGAGACGGATAACTGGCTGGGGCGGCATCAGACGCGTCGCGACGCGTGGTATATTAGCATGTCTGGTAGACTTGGTGAAATATATGACTTTTTACACCACTCTATGCATACCCGGAAAGCCCGAGAGATGACTTTGCCTAAGAAAGCCACCAGACATGTCCAAAACAGTCCCCAAAGTCCAAATTTTCGCCCCCAGTGAATTTATCTCGTGACTTTGTTGAGGTCCGTGCGCGAGCCAGCGAGGTATATTAGAGGGGTCCCTCGCTCGCGCGACTTGGCGAGCGAGCGCGACTTAGCGTTGGAGCGAGGCGTGCAAGGGGGGGTATGGTCTGACATGTGAATATATTACATACTTGCCCGCGTGGGCCGAGCGAGCGCTTGATGCGGCGGCGGATGAGGAGAATGCGGCCGGTGATGAGCAGCGTGAGGAGCACGTTGAGCGCAATAGAGAGTGACCAGTAGGCAGTGCCGAATTGGACGGAGCGTGCTGCCCAGAAGGAGTCGGCGAGTTGAAAAGAGGCGACGATGAGCGCAAGGGAGGACACTGAGGAGAAAGTAAGTGTGAATGCAAACCAGAACAGTTGGCTGACCTATCGAGCCCAGAAGCATCAGCGCTGGGAAGACAGCGTATGTGTAGTTGGATCCCCAGATGAGCCAGAAGCGCCACAGCTACCGTTTTTTAGCCCCAGCAACGAAAATCAAGATTGACCAACCACCAAACCGTCTGCGAGCCAGCTCAGCACGACATACGCGATAACCCCCATCATATTCACCCCCGAGGCAAACGAACTAACTTCGAAGCCGCTCGGGCCGCCCGGCGCTGCGCGGTCATCGATAAACGCCTCCTCGTTGATCTTGGTAGCGCTCCCAAAGCCGATTGTTGCCAGCGTGAAGATGCCGCATGCGCAGAGGACGAGGCCCCACGGCATTCTGGTGCGCGGGAGACTGAGGAACGAGTACAGGGTTTGCCATGTCAGGATGACAAGAATGCCTGGATATTTATTCGGTAAGACGAGCTGAGGCGATATTCAGAAACTGACCGTAGCTTACAGCTCCCAGCGCGTACCCATCCAGGAAGGACTTCTCGACAAGAGCGTTGGAGGCATCGCCTGCCGGCGCATACGAATTCGTGGCGTTGTCCATTAGAGAAAGTGGGGGCCTTGTCAGTGGCCATCCCCCTCGCCTATATGTGTGCCTGTACCTCCCCGGCGCCCCGCGTTTGCTCATGCTCAAGCTCAGCGACGCCCTGATGGAAAGTGGCCCTCGCGACAAATTGCCACATTTGCGCGCGCGTCGTGGGTCGTTTCCAGTCGTTGCCCACACCTTATTCGACGGGCCGCGCAATGTCCGCTGGCAAAGCCTGTATCCAAACAACGGGCTGGGAAGAGCTGGGCTGGAAAGGGATGCCCTTTGTCTGGAATACCACCTTTCCCGGCCCCGCTGCCGGTTGCGCAAACGGAAATGAACATGAAGAACCCGCATGCGCGGCATTGGCCACCGCTCCTAAGCGATGTCACTTCGTCAACCTTTGCCATGAAGGTTGTTGAGCAGGAACTTCGCACGGCCGAATGTCCATGCGCAAAGACGACGATCCTGTCGGGAACGCCCTTTGTGGCGTTAAAACTTTTTCAATACGAAGGCATTTGGACATTCGGCGAGGCATAGTCAATAATATGTGGGCCGCCGCGTGCACGTGCAAGGCCCGGGCTGCAACTGCAAGCAGGACGACAGCATGGACTGCCGCACTAGCAGCTCCTAGGCACATAAATTCAACAGTACTGCTCGGGCCGGCCCCCGCAACGCATCTTGGGATCATCGGCAACTCGGCCCTGGCCCGATGCCGATCCTCCGGTTCAAGTTGGTGTTTGTTTGTTTGTAATACGGTAATACTGCCTCAGTGTTGAATTTAAAAGTTAGGGTCTTTGCAAATGCATCAATGAATGAATGCACCGCCCATCCGAATTCAGCACCGCCGCGCCGTTCCCCTTTCTTGCCCCTCAGAATCCTTTAAAGGTCAGCGAAGATCAATCAATGTTCACATAAGTATGGCCGCTCCCTACGCCCACACCCTCCTTCCGACATCCGACCCCGATCTCGACCTCGAGAAAGCGTCGTCCGACGAGGCTCTCCCACCGTACGGACAACCTGAGACCCGACCATGCCAAGCCCGCGCCGCCATCGCCAATAATATCTGCAAAATCCTCCTCGCCGTTTTCCCCGCCCTTTGTCTCTTCTACCTGCTCGTCTGTCCACCCGCACCAGCCCCGTCACTCCTTGCGCCGTCCGCCAAGGCCTTCGCACAAGCAATCATTTCCGTTATCATCGTGCTCTACCTTTGCTCTCCTGCGCTGGAGCTCCGGGCCGGCACGCCGGTCGCCGAGCACGCAACGCAGTACGCACTGCTTTGGGTGCGCCTCGTGCTCCCTGCAGTCGCAATTTTCCTCGATCCCACGGAGGCCGACACCGAGCGCATCATGTGGGTATTCGCTGTCGTCGAGATCGTTTGTGGTGCGTCCGCGTTTACTTACACTTGCCGCTTCCCGAGCTGATCCGATGATGCAGCCAGTGTGAGCAATGCAATCAGCAGTCCCAAACTGCCCGCCGCGGCGTCAACCGATGTCGAGGCGGCTAGTCCCAGCACGCCCCAGTCCCAGCCGCGGCCCGGAGCAGTCGCCATCATATCCTGCTCTGTATTTCTCGGCTTCCTGTACTACATGCTATTCTCCCTAGTCAGGGACATCCATGCGTCGGGGGGCGTTCCGGTACACGGAGACCCCGCGACTGTGGATGGGGCAGTGTCATCCGCCGTGATTGAGGGGTTGAAATCGGTGTCCACAGCCGCGGTGACGGCGATAGTGCCGATGCCCTCATAGAATGACCTCTTTTCAGGTTATCTTCTCTTTGTTACTCTTATATCAAGCAGATATTGTAGGAATGTGTGTGTGCATGTTTGGTATGGGCTTTGGTAATTCATTTGCTCCATACTGCCAAATTTGGATGGACTGCTATTAAAATTGCATGTGGGCTACATTTGGTAAATAAGTATGACCGTTAAATGTGGTGACTATAGCGACCAGCAAGTGACCAGTCTTGATCAGGATAGAATCACTGGACAATTTCTTCAATTATTCTCTGTAACAAGTTAGATAAAAATTTAATTTTTTTTAAATAGATGTTTTCTGAGTGAAAATTTAAACTTTGTCTGGCAACTTCTGCTTGAAAAATACCAGAAAGGAAGAAGGTTTTTAACCTAATAATTACTAAGAGAAATGGCAAACTATATATAGACAAAAAACTAGAACAAGAAAGTTTTTGCATATGGGTTTTGCCAAGAAAAGCTTAGTAAAAAGAAATTAGCCAGAAAAAATTCAAGGTATTTTTCAACCTGTTTGGCTGTGAAATATTTCAATTTTTCCTTTTTTTGTTTTGACTCACCAAAATTATTGTACAAATTATCAGTTTTTTTCCCCAATTTTTTATAAACAGAAACTTTTCTTCTAAGAAAACTTGTAGTTTTTGATTAACCTTTTTCCAAGTAAAAGTAAGAGGAAAAACCTTTTAATTTTCTAGGGAAAAAATCGGAGTTTTGATTTATAAAAAACATCCAGAAAAAAACTGAACTGATTAAGAATTTGGAACATTTAACTGGCAATATACTTTGAATTTCTTTTCCAATTTTTTCTTGGCAAACCCTGTTAAGGTTTGAGCCCACAGTCTTCCTCAGGCTATCTGATCATGATTTATAATGATCAGTAAGCAGTAAGAATATTGCAGATTATTCTAATATATTCCATTGTGGTATATAAAGTAAAGCACTGGAGCCTCAAGCCCCAATGGATTGTAACCCAATGGCCTAACAGCCTTGTGCCCAGGCTGAGTGAAAAGCTGAATCACAACAAAACCTACCCGCAGAAACTTGAAATTATACTGGCTGCAAACCCAACAGCAGTTTGCTAATGGGAGACCCAACAGGAGTGGAAAGAAAGACAAAGATTTCTTTGTTTCAAGCAAAGGAAAAAATTTTGCTTTCAAATTCTCATTGGACCCCCCCCTTTAGCCAATTGCCATTATATCACACCCTGTTGATTCCTACCACATACCTATCCTCTTTGATCCAATCATCGCCCTGATGACATCCCCGCTTGTCACTGTTCCTGTCAAATGTCTATGTCCTGTTGCATAGCCTTACTCTGACAGTAGTGTGACAAGTGCCATGGTGAAACAGCTACTTACAGTCTAGTTTAGTCTGACACCTGTTGCACTAGTATGTGACGTCACAGGTGCAGACGGTATATAAGTAGCCTGCTAGATCTCCTGTACCCTAGTCCTTTTATTCTCATTGATTACACCAAACACACCTACTCTGTTTGGGAGTCTGTCACACTAGTAACAAACTCCTACCATCTTACGAATCCTCCCTTTACTTTGTTCTACAGAGCCATCACTTGATCACTCATTCAGTTGACCCATCATTTGATCAAGCTCTGTTTGTGACATAATAAAAGGACTACCTTCGTACCCTCGTACCAACAACTACCAACAACCACCAACTATCAACCACTACCCCTATCCCTTACCTCTACTCCGCCACCCTCATCATACCACTATGACTACCAAAGTCATTCTCGCCTCTACTCCCTCGTTCTTCGATGGCACTCCAGCCAAGTGGAACAACTTTTACGACACTCTCACTACCTATATCGGTGCTTACGACAGTGAACTGAATACTGAGAAGAAGCGGATCTTCTTCACAGTATCCTTTCTTCGAAAGGCAGATGGTTCAGACTGTGTAGCAGCTGATTGGGTCCGCAACTGGAAGAAGCGTACTCTGAATCCAGATGGTACTCTTCGCACCTCCTATACTTTTGCAGAACTCATCACTGAGCTAGAATCTGCCTTTGAGGATAAGAACCTCTCACAGATTGCTCATCTGAAATTAACAAGTAATCGCCAGGGGCGTATGTCACTTGTTGAATTCTTGCAACAGTTTGAAATTCATGCAGAACAGGCTGGTTACTCACCCCATGCAGAGGGTGGTAACTATGATGCCTTCCTGGTGGAACTTCTAGAGGACAATGTGAATGAAGATATCATCAGTCAGATGTATGTTGGAGGGGATGTCCTGCCTTCCACATACAAGCTCTTCAAGGAACGATTGCTACAGATTGATGGAAATCTGCAGCGAAGCAAGATTCGACGCAATCGACAAGTTACATCTCGGTACACAAACCACGAGCAGTACATCATACTCCCCGTGGGTTTACTCCTACGCCAGTGGGCTTGACTCAGAAAACCTCTCAGTCAGTTCAAGACCAAGTGGTACCCATGGATGTGGACAAGCAAAGGCAAAAAGGAAAGCCTTTCACTTGTTATAATTGCGGCAAGATTGGACATTTGAGCAGAAACTGCAGTGAACCCCACAAGCAAGGATTCAATCTTCGAGCGCTTTGCGCTGAGATTGATGGCTTGGACACTGGCAGTGAAGTTCTGCAGACTCTCGCTACAAAGCTGAGAGAACGGGGTTTTTGAAGCGCTCAGTGCCAATGGCCAAGGTAGCTGAGCAGAAGTTTGGAAGATATACAATTCTTGAACAACTAACAGATACAGATCTTGTTGATAATACCGATTCATCTCCTAATTCCCCACCTAATACCATTTCAAATTCCATATCCATTCCAAACGCAAGGCCCGTGGCAGACTTGCTGCCTCGACAACTAGAATGAAACCTCAAGAACAAAAGGGGAGCAAGAAGACTCCGATGGCTCAATCCTTGGATAAGGAGGAAGCGCCAATTCCAGTATATAAACGAACACGAATTCCATCCACCACACGCATTCGACAAGCTGCACTTAACCAGCACACTACGAAACCTGATAAGCTGTCACAAGATCTCAAGGAGTTCTACAAGCACAGGAACCGGCATGAATTCATGCTTCCTATCTCTTTGACTACGCTTGACACAGGCAAAGTCCGTTCTGTGAATGCATTGCTCGACTCTGGCTGCACTTCAACATGCATTGACAGAGATTATGCAGTTGCACAGAATTTTGAGATGAAGGAGCTGGATGTTCATATCCTGCCAAGAAATGCTGATGGAACTGTCAACTCCAGGGGGAGAATCACTCATTATGTTGAACTTCAGATGAAGATTGGCTCCCACCAGGAGAAGCAACGATTCTTGGTGACAGGTTTGGGGAAATCAAGAGTATTCATTGGATATGACTGGCTCTTGAAGCATAATCCCAAGGTTGATTGGCGAGCCCACAAATTAACATTCAGTGGCTGTCCAGCAGAATGCAACATGACTGGCACTGAATATGGAACTGGTTGCAATGATCCTCTAATGGAGGAAGGAGATTCAATTCTTCTGATTGACTTTGCACCTGCTATTGATATTCGAGCCAAGGAGACACAATCTCAACGGTTGGCTGAAGAAGCTCGCAAGGACCAACACTCAGCAGAGATTCCTGTGCAATACCGACATTACACAGATGTCTTTTCCAAGGAATCATTTGACTCTCTTCCTGAACGCCGACCATGGGATCATGCTATTGAGTTAAAGCCTGGAGCACAAGCTGTTGACTGCAAGATCTATCCTCTGTCTCACCTGGAACAACAGAAGCTAGATGAGTTCCTGGAGGAAAATTTGGTAACTGGCCGAATCCGACCATCAAAATCACCAATGGCATCATCATTCTTCTTTGTCAAGAAAAAGGATGGGACCCTCAGACCAGTACAGGATTACAGGAAACTGAATGAAATGACTATCAAAAATCGATATCCACTTCCTCTAATCTCTGAACTGGTGAACCAACTTCAGGGTGCCCATTACTTCACAAAGCTTGATATTCGCTGGGGATATAACAATGTGAGAATCCAGGAAGGTGACGAGTGGAAAGCTGCGTTTCGAACAAACCGTGGCTTGTTTGAACCACTTGTTATGTTCTTTGGACTCACCAACTCTCCTGCAACATTTCAAACTATGATGAATGACATTCTTCGAGATCTTATCAATGCAGGACATGTTATTGTCTACCTGGACGATATACTTATCTTCACCGAAACTCTTGAAGAACACCGGAAGGTCGTGGCCCAGGTGCTTGAAACCTTGGCTAAGCATAAGCTCTATCTCAAACCAGAGAAATGCCAATTTGAACAAACTTCAATTGAGTATCTGGGAGTGATTATCTCACACAATTCAATGAAGATGGATCCAGTTAAAATTCAAGGAGTTCTTGATTGGCCTGAACCTCGTTCCGTCAAACAGGTTCAAGCTTTCCTTGGTTTTACAAACTTCTATCGCCGATTCATTCGAGGATATAGTGAGGTAGCCCGACCACTTACAAAATTGACTGGCAAGTCTGGCTGGTGCTGGGGTGCTGAGCAACGAGATGCTTTCCAAGGTCTGAAGTCTCGGATAGCAGAAGACGCTGTCCTAGCCTTACCAGCAAATACCGGAAAGTTCCGATTGGAAGCTGATGCATCTGAAGGAGCAGTTGGTGCTGTGCTCAGCCAAAGACAGAATGACCAATGGCGTCCTATTGGATTCATGTCTCATAGTCTCAATCAGACAGAAAGGAACTATGAGATCTATGACAAGGAGATGCTTGCAATCATGTCTGCTCTTGAGGAGTATCGACCAATGCTCATGGGAGCTAATGAGACATTCAAAATTTTCACCGACCATCAAAATCTCGAATACTTCAAAAAGCCTCAGAAGCTTAATCGAAGACAAGCCCGCTGGTTAACAGAGCTCTCAGAATATGACTTCACTCTCCATCACCGCCCTGGTGCACTCAACCGTAAAGCTGACTTGCTATCACGCAGAGCGGACCATGACCAGGGAAAAAATGATAATGAAGATGTCACACTTCTCAAGAAAGAACTGTTCAGAGCAACAGACCTCCAGATAGAGAGTGTAGATGTTCAGATTTTGGAGAAAATCAAATCTAGCAAGGTGATTGACACTTCGGTCAAGCTTGCACTCCAAAAATCATTACCCGGTTGGAGTCGTGAAGGTGATATCATTCTCTATCAAGGCAAAATCTATATACCCCGTGACGAGACACTGTGGGAAGAGATTATTCAGCAGCATCATGATGTGCCAATGGTTGGTCACCCAGGAGAATATAGAACTCAGGAATTGATTGAACGCAATTTCTGGTGGCCACGCTTGGGCAATGATGTCAAGGCTTATGTCCGGACATGTGAATCATGTCAACGAACTCGCTATCGACGACGCACACATGGATTCCTGAATCCACATCATGTGCCTGAAGGACCTTGGCAAACCATCTCCATGGATATGATTGGTCCCCTTCCCACGAGCAATGGGTTCAATGCAATTCAAGTTTGGGTAGACCTATTTACCAAACGGATTCATGTTGAGCCAACAACGACCGAGCTCAATAGTGAAGGAGTTGCAAGACTTACTCGACAGAATTATTCGGTACCATGGAGTACCAAGGAAGATTATATCTGATCGAGATCCACGTTATCTGTCTGGGTTCATGACTGAACTGAACAAGCTACTTGGGACACAAATGAATCCAAGTACAGCCTACAGACCTCAGACAGATGGACAAACGGAACGCATGAATCAAGAGATCGAACATTACCTGCGTATTTATGTTAACTTCAACCAGTCAGATTGGTCTGATTGGCTTGCACTTGCAGAGTTTTCATATAATGACAAGGTTAATGCATCTACAAAGACCTCACCTTTCTATCTAGATCATGGATATCATCCATGGAAAGGAATAGAGACATATGTTGAATCTAGAAATGAATCTGCTCAAGAGCTTGCAGATAAGATGAAAGCCATACGAGATGATGCCAGTATAGCCATGCGAAAGGCAAAGGAACGGATGAAGAAATATTATGACAAGAAACGAACTCCGGCTCCTAATTTCAAGACTGGACAGAAAGTATGGCTAGAAGCAAATGAAACTGTAGATCAAGGTCGCCCCTCTGCAAAGATGTCAGATAGACGACTTGGACCCTATGAAATCCTGAAGAAAGTGGGGACAGCTTCCTACCAATTAAAGGTACCAGGCCTCGACTATCGATACCCTGTGTACAATGAAGAACTGCTGTCTCCCTATCATGAACCACCACCTCATCGTCAAGAAGAACGCCCAGGACCTGTTACAGTTCAAGGAAAACCTGAATATGAGGTAGAGAAAATCCTTAAATCTCGAAAGAGAGGCAAGGGAGTTCAATACCTTGTGAAATGGAAAGGCTACCCTTATAGTGAAAATACCTGGGAACCACGACGGAATCTTACCAACTCTCAGGAATATATTGATGAATTCCTGAATACTCGAACCTCAACTATTTCCCTCTCAACGGTGGATTTGATCTTTCCCTAATCTAGTCGATGAGGACATCGAACCTAAAGGGGGGGTAATATCACACCCTGTTGATTCCTACCACATACCTATCCTTTTTGATCCAATCATCGCCCTGATGACATCCCCGCTTGTCACTGTTCCTGTCAAATGTCTATGTCCTGTTGCATAGCCTTACTCTGACAGTAGTGTGACAAGTGCCATGGTGAAACAGCTACTTACAGTCTAGTTTAGTCTGACACCTGTTGCACTAGTATGTGACGTCACAGGTGCAGACGGTATATAAGTAGCCTGCTAGATCTCCTGTACCCTAGTCCTTTTATTCTCATTGATTACACCAAACACACCTACCTGTTTGGGAGTCTGTCACACTAGTAACAAACTCCTACCATCTTACGAATCCTCCCTTTACTTTGTTCTACGGAGCCATCACTTGATCACTCATTCAGTTGACCCATCATTTGATCAAGCTCTGTTTGTGACACATTAGGGCGTTTCACGACCTGTTTTTCGGCCGTTTTTCGATGTCGATTTTCGAGGATGTTTTTTGTCACAAAAAAAAAAAACATCATTTTTTGGTCGTTTTTCAAAAGCAGCTTCAGAGCTCCTTTGAAAAATGACCTGCGATTTTTGAGCTCGTTTTTTGGCTATTTGCTGTTGCCAGGCCCGTTGATGTAAGTGCCTGGCCACTGGATTGCCTGGTTGTCGATTGTGATCATGACCCGACGCGACAGTGCCCGACGCCGTTCCTGCCCACTGCACCACCCACTCAATGGAGGCCGTATTGCCGAAATGGCCAAGTCGGAAGAGGGTTGACGAGCCTGCCCGTCACAAGTCACACTTTGTCACGCAGTTTGATTTCCTAGTTTAGTTTCCACTGCCTTTTCTAGTTGCCATTTCCTACCTTAGTTTCCATTCCCTATCTTTCCTGACTTTGTTGCTCATTTTCCATTTGATTTGAGTTTCTATTTCATTTAGCCCTTATTTATCTAGTCTATAAAAAGCCTGTCCATAGTGAGTAGTTAGCATATATCTGATTCCCCCTCTTTCCCTTCTGAGTTTGAGTTCTCTCTTGAGTTCTTGAGTTCTTGGTGTTGAGTTTCCTGAGGAGTTTGTTAGCTCTGAAGGCACTTGCCACTTAGTCCTTGTTTGTCTTTTGGCAAGCAAGCACGCCAGGGTGATGGCCAGCTGGTGCTCAAAGGGAAACTGGGGGTTGTTGCCGCTGTGGAAGATGGAATGGCCAGATGGGGCCAGCACCTGCCACTTGGCTCAGGACAGAAAAATAACAGCTGTTTTTTGCAAGAGGGGTTTCACGTTCACGCGTTTTTTGGCTCGTTTTTGTGACACTCTTGGCAAAAAGACCAACGAAAATCTACATCGAAAAACACCCAAAAAAACAGGTCGTGAAATGCCCTATTGCTTTTGCTACCAGTGTTATTGTTCAGGTGATTCATCTGTATATAGTTCCACATTTTTCTTAGTAACAATTGGGTAAACAACTTTAATTTTTTTTCCCTGATATTTTTCAGACAAAAGTTGGTGAAGAAAGTTCAAATTAATTTTTACTCAGAAGAAATTTATTTAAAATTTTTCAAATTTTTAGCCAATTTTTAATCACAGATTAATGGGAGGATCCAAAGAGTGAATAATAGTAAGCAAATACAAATCAAGCTGACTTAACAGAGGAGGATCTAAGGAGAAGAAACTCAAAGAGTCTGCCTGCTTGGTAGCTGACTATATGCTGTACTCTTGACATGCCAAGAATGATTATCCCTCCAAGTAGTATGTCTGTGCCATGTCACAAGCCAGTCTCAGACACAAGCCAGTCTCAGAGGGATCGACTTACTATCCCACACCGGTGTAGTTGGAGACTACGACGACGGGTCTATCTAGGGAGACAACAATGCTAGTAGTACTTGAACAGGTCGATCCTTCAATTTTCTCATGTAATTTTGTACATGTTCAACTCAGTATATAAGTACAGTTTCAAAATTTCTTCTGTCCCGCACCACTCTTTGACCACTCTCAATAGTTCGTCGGGTGGCAATGTGCCTTGTGTCCGTGCTTCCAATGCCAATTCTGACAGGCCGCCCCACAATACTTGACAACTTTGCATCGCGAGCAGACGAGCGCAGGCTCTTCGTCACACATGCGCTCCAGCGAATCGCCTGCACACATGTCCACCTGGCCCTCCAAGTGCTGCCGCGTCGAGTCGAGGAAATGCGCGGCCGGCATGGCCTCAACGGGGTCCAGCAGTCCCCGCAAACGCTCGATGTCAACACGCTTGACACGCGGGATGGCCTGGACATCCTCCCGGGCGAGTATTTCGTCTAACGCCTTTGCGAGTTTGTGGCGGATCGCAGCATCGATGGAGGCCTTGCCGTCGTCGCCGGTGGGGTCGCACCAGAACAGCGTATGAATAATCAGCGTGCAGTGTGCATCGAAGCCAGCAGGGGCGCCCCAGGTCAGCCCACGAATAAGCCCGTCCGCAATGATGTTTCCCAGGCCCTTTGAGGCGTCGGTGTTCCGCAGAAACTTGCGCAAGTATGGCTGGTGCTTCGGGTCGGGGATCAGACTGAATATATGCATCGTTGCGGTCATCGCGCGCGGCTGGGTCGCAGCGGAAAGTCGGCGCAATGCAGCAGCGATGTTAGGGAGATGAGCCGCGGCAAACACACTTGAGAAGATGTCTAGCGCTTCCCGTGGCAGTACTCCCAGGGCGCCAATCTAAGTGCAACAGAGTCAGACTAAAGCCTTGATAGCACCTCGGACAGCACATGGAAACTTGAAGGGGACGCACCTGGGCATACACCTCTTGGTGGTCCACATCGGAAAAATCAGTGTCAGGAGGCAGTGCCGTTTCTGGCGTCAGATGCGCGTTCTTGGCCAGCATGTCTGCCAACGAGGTCATCTCTGGCAGGAACTCGGACAGTTTGTATTGTCTCCCGTTCACAGATATCGTTTTCGAGTTGGTGGGCATGGTGGAGCGTGATCAAAAAGAATTGATGTACTACAGTAACTACTGGCTGGCTGAATGGTTAAAGACCAAATACTTGCTGAGGAAACGACTCATTTCTGGGAAACAAGCAGCTTCAAAGATCAGAGCCTTCGGATGCTTATGTGAAATATTAAAGTTTAGCCAATGCAAAAAGACTCTGTCTTCATATATAGAGGGGTACTTGATAGCTACAATACAAAAATTGGTACACACATCGCTACAAACAGCGCCCAGACCCAAGAAACGGGAATAATACTACGTGTATACGTATCAAAAGGCAAGAAAACGAAAGGTCTAGGGCATCATCTATCGCGCAAACTGGGCAAGTGGCTGTAGCCCTGCCAGTGGGGCATGGTACGGCGACTGCAGCCCGCTCGAGCCGTCAGACGATGGCGAATACGATGACGAGTCAAGCCACGCAGTCTGGTCCATCAAGCCCCAGTTGGTATTCTGCAAGGCAGCCGCGAACAGCTGCTCCTCGCCGGGAAGTAGCTGTTGTAGGTCCAGCAGCGTTTCCTCTAATGCCGACTGCGACGGCACATCACTGTAGACGCGGCCGCCACCAGCAGTATAGCCGCCGACATGTTGCGAAGACTGGGCTGCGCTCGAAAAATTCGAAAACGCATTCGACAAAGTGCCGTATTCGCTCGATGTAGCTGACGACGGCGGTGTGGGTGTCTGTTGTTGTTGCAGCTGTGTGGGGGGAGGTTGGACCGGCGTATGACCGCTTGCAGGCCCATCTCGTCTCCGTCTGGCCAAAACACTCGCGAGAAACCGCGCATACTGCTTCGGCACGTGTCTGTCGTCCAGTGCCGTTTCCGGCGAGCCCAGGGTTTGAATGAGCCCAGTCACAAGGTCGATGGCCCGGTTCTCCTCGTCAACTGAGAGCCAGCGGGCATGTTCTGGTCGGAAAAGCTTCATATTGGGATCAGCTGGGGAGTGTGAATTTGAAAGAAAGATGTACCCTGAAAATACAAGCACACGCAAAGGCAGCAATGGTGAAATGCTCTGTGGAAGGTCAATTTCATTTTGAGGGATATAACTGGGTGGCTGACCATCTGGAGCATAACGAAGGAAACCTGTGGGCGACAAGTCGTCTACCATGACACGCAATACGTCCTTTGCCGATTCCAGACACTAGAAAAGGTTAACATTTAACAGACGGAGAATAAACAAATTACCTTGGACAGAAATATGCGATTGGCCGAATATGTGTGTTGCAAGCCAAAGGAATACATCAGAAGACGCGAGTAAGCAACCCGGCTGCAGATATTTCAAATCCACCTTTAGTCAAAGAACGACGGTACTTACAACGACAGAAGCTTGCGGCGGAGAGCACATGTCGGGTCTGTCCAACAAGCTGTCAGCAAACAGAGGCGACTACAAGCAATCCTACCACTCATGTCTGAAGCATGTTGTAGCCGCTCATCCCACTCCTCAGCGAACCGTGTAAGATCATCATCATGGTTCATGGTCACCGCCAACAGGTCACCACGCTACGAGAGGGAATTAGACTTGAGCAGCCAACGCAAATGTAGACATACTTGATTAAGTGCCTCGTAGAATCGCGTGACGAGATGCATTAGACCAGTAAAGCAACACAGGTGGATATCGTACTGCAAGTTTGTGGTTAGTATTGGAACGGCAGGCATACAAGATACAACTGACTGGGCTGTTATAGATCGATTTGGCGTACCAATTATCAGTTTGGTGACGAGAAATGCTACCACAGATAAGCTCATTGCACCAATAAAAGAAGGGAACTTACTCCTCATCGCGAATCGTAGCCGACTTGCCAAACTGGGTTGCCAATGACCGATCGAGGTTGAAACAGATCAGCCAAACCCTTGTCCTGTTAAGCTGCTCTCGCTCCGCGGTCTCGTCGGCTGCGGGCTTGCTGTTCGGGACCTGATCCAGATTCAAGTCCGTCGCCAAACGCACAGCCAGCCCGGCGTACATCCAAGAGCGGTCTTCCTCCCACTTCCCGGTTGGGGCGGCGAAGAGGCTTAAAAGGACATACGCCTGGCAGAGCTCCACGGACTTCCAGCCATCAATTAAGGCGGTTGCAGCGGATTGTTTCGCGAAATGCATAGCGACAGCGTAGATCTTGGCTTTTTCTGTCGAATATCGCGAAGAGACAGCACAAACTAAGGGTTGCGGATGTCAGTAATGTTATTGAAGGGTCTGAAAAAGAGCTAACTCACTAACGGTGTACAAGAAGGGGCATCGCCCGAATGTATTCTGCGGCGTGTGGAGAACGGGATCTAGTAAGTTGATAAAGGGCTAGCCAGGACTGCGTTAGCAGATGCAGAGCGCCGAGAGGCGCAGACTAACATTAATATGGGTGTAAAATCTACCAATCAGCCATCAATACCAGAAGGGGAACTCAAAAACAGGCCTACATTTCGAAGAGCTTCTCGACATCCTCAGACGTGACCAGTCCATGCATCAATATCTGCGGGGGACTGTGTTGATGGATGAGCTGTGCACGCTTCTTGAGGTCTGTCGTTGGCCCAGGTGTGAAGTATGACGCGCTAGCTACACCCTGTACCTTGTCGCGTGAGACTGGAAGGGAGTCTGGCAGAAGGCACGCACGATATCACTGGTACCGGCGTCCCCGGTCTGCCCATCCGCCCCGCGTAGATTGTTCTTGGACCTGCGCTTGTTGGCCAGACTGAGCTGCGCAATGAGTCCTACAGGGGCGTTGGGTGCAGGCAAGGAAATTGAGGTTTGCTCGTTTCCCCCTGTCTCTTCGCCTTCTAACGTGGCGTCGTCTTGCGGCAAGACAGTTGATGAAGGGGCATCTGGCGGGATACTGGCTTTCATTTGGGAAAGCCAAGTAACGACATCGACATCGTTGGCGTCGGAAGGAGAGCTGGCCATGCGGAACGAGGCGATGGACATTGGAGTTGCGGTGTATGGATTGTGAATCTAATAAAACGGTGAGCAAAGTGGTTGAGGAATAAAGAATACTTGCCTGCTTCAGCAACGACTCAATAATCTCGTCTTTGTGTCGAATTTGCGCCATAAGATACTTGGTCTTGCTAGATGGCGAAACAAATGGTAAGTCAGAGTTGTTTGAAGACGGAGAAGAAGGCGGTGAAGAATCGCGGGACGGAATAGGCAACATCGACGAATGTGATGTGCAAGAGACGAAAGAAAGCAGAGAAGAAGAGCGACGTAAAAATCTCGGCGAGATTAAAACTTCTGAAGAAGGGCAATCGGCAAATAAAATAGTGTCGCTTATGGGTGAACGGGACATTCAGCTGCCGGATGCCATTCGGTGGGTCGATATCACACTCCCTTATACGACAATCGCAATGCCCGGGAAAGTAACAACGCCTATATCCCAGAATGGGAAATGCAGGAACCCAAGGGCAATAGGAGCAAGACTATCGGCCCTTGCAGCCCGATGTAAAAGTTCTCTGGGGTCAGTATTGTGTCACAAGCCATGGCGGGACTCGTGATGCCATCCGTGCCAGATAGCAGACAGACGACAACGGAACGGGGTGTGTGGAAAAGAAACTGAGAAAAGAAAGTAGGCGCCATTGCCGTTCGGAGAGGAGGCGGCGCCTGCGAGGCTACAGTAGCAGCCGAGTTTCCTCTGGGCTTATCAAGCCACATTTGATGACTGCCTCCCGGCGACATGCAAGGCCCGCCGCGTTGGACCCAAAGCAGTAAAAACTGCTGTAGCATGGGGGGAGCGTGGCAGACACGGACCCCAATACGGAGAAGACGATCCTCCGAAAGGAAGGGAAATGGGGAATCACGGAGAATGACTCCACAGGATCGAATCGAATGCAGGACAATGCCATGCAAGCCGTCCAAGTTGCCGTCGCGGTGAAATGCCAGGACCGTGGTAAATTCCGGCATGGCGCGACATGAGGTAGTCCGTTGGAAGGCTACAAAAGCAGTACATTCGATGAACGAATGGTGCATTCCCCCGTTCAAAGGATAGTCTTCTGAGCCATCCATTGGAGAAAGTTGGGAGGAGAGACAGCATGGAGAATGTCAATTCTCGTCTCCAAAGCTTCTTGGAAAGGAGCAGAAAACCAAGAATGAAGGGGGAAATCGAAAACAAGAGTTATCAACTCACTTTGGTGCGCTCCGTTGGTTCCGTCTCTCTACCATACAGACATGGCCTGTAGCCTGGCAACGGCGACAAGTGTCTTCCGTTTCTGACTTCATGGTTAACTTGGAGAGCAACCGAAAAGATGTAATCCTACCTCCGTCTGCATCGGTCGCGAACTCGCACTTCATCTTCAGCTTGCGACAGTGGCCACATGCGCCGGGGCTATTTGTGGCATATGAGAACCAGCGATCGATGCAGAGCAAAATGAAGGTAAAATCGAGGAAAAAAAACTGACAGTTTCGCGCCACCTGCTTGTGGTCTCAATCCCTCGTCTCCCTCCGGCTCCGAGTATCCAGCGGACTGAGGCACCTCATCTTCAGTCCTCTGGCGCTTTCGAGGAGGACCAACACCACGAGGTTGACCTGTCGATGGTGGTGGATAGCTTGGACCGGGCGCATACTGTGCATATTGGTCGTATTGAGGATATAGCTGGCCATATGAGGCTGCTGGGGCAGGATACGCGAATTCAAAGCGCTCTTGGGTCGGTGGCGGGGCGGATTGCCAACGCGGATCAACATGAAAATATGCGGTAGAACTTTGGAACGCGTGTAGGTGGCTCATGGCGGGTAGAAGAGAAGCGGAGGGGAGCGTGAGCGAAACGTGTCGCCCTTCTGAGGTGGAGGGGTGGACTAGTGAGGCTGAGCATTGCGACAGCTCCGCGCAGGCTCTTTAGGTGAGCGTTGGAGTTGTGTTGCGACTTGATGGGCCTGTCGGCACGACCTCCTGCCGACCGTCCTTGTTCCCAAACTGGCTTCGAACTGATTTATTGGCCCTCTCTAATGCTCGCTTCCCTGACAAGTTCTTACACTCTGAACAGCCGAAGAACGGAAAACCCGTAAATGATACATTAAAAGACCTCGGAAAGGAGGCGTTATGCAACGGTTTGGACAACATCGCTAATAAGGACTGTAGTCACTACATAATCTAGACCAACTTGTTGGCTGGTTTGTAATGCAATTATGCACTTGGTCGCGGTATGCAATCAGTCAAGACTAGGTACGAAAATGGAGACGTTTCTGGTCCAGGACGGTCTTTCCCTGACTAGGTTGCTTGGTCACTTGCGACTCTGAATCGAACATGGCCCGGACGAGGAATACCGTCGATACGAGTGAAACAGGTCGGACAGATTGACAGAGAATACGAAATCGGGTTTGCGCATGCTACTTGAATTGAGTGGTGAACTTGGTATGGGATCACGGTATTTTTATCCTTGTTTGGCCTTATTCCAAGTCGCTAGCTAAGAGCAGCCCTCACGAGATCGCCTACTCAGAGTCCATATAGGTGCGCGATAAAAAGGTGTTTGTTGTCTTATGGGAGTCGGAAGTCAACAATCATTCCCCCACAAGCGCCAGCAGGCTACGAGCGGCAAGAACCCTCCAGACTGACCACCTACGTTGTTCTTCTTGATGCCTTTTGAGACTTTTTTGGTCCTTTACGCTTTTTTTGAACAAGGTATTCCCTGGCAGAGGCCTTTTGTGATTTTCCTAGCAGGCTAGATCCTAACTATAACGCACACCACGGACCAACCTTACACTGCGAATGCGCAACATAAGCAGCTCAGACACTTTGCTTTCGCGAACAGTCGGGCTGCCTGCAGCAGTCGCACCAAGAAACCGCCTGTCCCACACACCTAGACAGCTCAGCCGTCATCATTCACTCGGCGATTTGCTGTCACTCACCAATGTCCCGCAGCCGCCAGTCCAGCGTAACGGTCTCCAGTCCGGTCATGAGAGTGTCTACTGCGTGGTCCGTGCTCGTCCCGTGCTGACCCCACCCATAGAGCTCCTGCGAGCGCTCTTCTGGGAGCACCAGATACAGCGTATGGAGCGCAGGCGCGTATTTTACAAGCAGCTCAAACATGCGCAATGACAACGTCTTCAGCCCAATATGGAGCTTCTCCAGGCCCCCATCCAGGGGCCGCCGCACGAACATCCGGAGCACCTGTTCCAGCTCCGTCAAGTCCAGGAAAAGGTCGACGAGCGTGATATGTGTCAGCGTGTCAGCAGCATGACGGAGACATGCAAGAGTGTGGTCAAAAGTGGCCAGCGGTGATAACGTTAGGCGTTGGAGGACCGCGAATGCGATTGATTCTGACGCGAGCGCCGTAGAAAGCTGTGGCCACGAGCTCTGCGAGCGTGTCGTGAGGCCTGGCAAGCGGATGATTTCCAGCTCGCGCAGTGTCGTTGTGTGGTTTCGCAACATGGCAAGGACAGCGTCTGGTTCTTTTGCGTAACTGAATGGAAGGGAAATCGACAAGTAACGCAGCTGGCTCAGGAGCGTCGTCAGAGCATAGAACAGCGGCGCCTGGTCCCCCTTTGACGACGACGCAATCTTCAGCCCCCGAAGCGACTCCGAAAACTGGTTGATAAACGGCGCAATGGTCCGTCTGAGAGTGATCGCCGTTTCCCAGCTCTCCTGGTCATAATCAAACATGAGGTCGATCTCGTCGAGATGGTCGAACCCAGAGAGGAGGCTGCTGAAATTCATGAGCTGCGCATTGAGACACAGCTTTCGCAGCGTGCTCCCAAATGCTGTCCGGGCAGTAGAGACGAAGCGCATTGTCTCCGGTGTGGGGGCCAAGTCCCGCCATTCGAAGCTGTACTCCACCACGCCGTGCATAAGGCTCACTGCGTCCGTCATGGATTTCAGGATATCGCCCGCCGAAGCATCACCAGTCGTGCTGAAAGTTTTTGACGGGGAGGGCGGGGGCACGTTGAGGTATTCCTCCAGCGGAGCAAGCCAGCTCCGGCTCGGAACAGCGTAGGACGCCGGCTTAACCAGTCGTTCCTTTTGGATGAGGTAGTCGATGAACCAGGCACGGATGAACAACCGGCGCACGCGTCGAGCGATATTCGGAGCTCTGTGCAGTCGTGTTTGACGCATGAAACCAAGTCCGAGATGTGACTCACTTGAGTCGCTCGAGGGACCAGGCCATCGACGTGTCCAGCTTCTCCCATCTCACCTCCTGGTACCGCTCATCCAGTACTATGTTGAAGAGAGCACGGTTGACAGACAGCAGGGAGGCACGTTCAGATCGCGATAGTGCGTCCGTCACGCACCGCCAGACATCCTCCGGAAGCTCTGTCGTGACCATCGGAATGAAGCTTGGGGGTCGAAAAGCAAGGGTCTCGGCTTGTGACAACCGTTACCGATAAAAGTTTCACGATAAGATTATCCATTGCCGGGACCAATGTATGTAACAGTTGATTCCCAAACGCAGAAGCTCACTAATACCGGAGCCGTTACTAGTTAGGTCCCCAGCTGTGCAGTATCTGCCACCTTGCTTTTGTTCTTGCAAGCATCATTTCATTCAGATTTTTTGAAAAAAAATACCAATCATTTTGGTTACTTATATAACTGATCATATCTCAGCCAATTTTAGTGCAAATGACACAGAAACATCTTGGTTAATATTATGTAATGTTAGAATACCATATTTCCTTATATGGAAAATCTCTCATAAAAGTCTCTATGTTGGTTTTCCTGATGTAGCTTTGTAGACAAGCTTATTTTTGTTGAAATAACTGATGAGCTGAGCAAGGGGCTGTCAAGATGCCTATCACGGATATAGGGAGGATCCCAAGCCCTAGAAAAAAATATTTACTGCTTCTTATATCTTAACTAAATATGGCTAGGGACACCTCAAAAACAGCTATAGTGCATCTGCTACTGTATTCTATATATATATTCCATCTTATATACCTATAAGCAAGGTTTAATAAGCCCAATGTGGTGCAATAATAACAGGCTGTCACATTCTCATCACACTACTGGTGATACATGACCAGTAATATGTATGACCTGATATAGTCCCATATAGGCTGAGAACATCATATAATACCTCTTTACAATATATATAGTAAAGTTAACACAAAAATATTACCTTTATCAGCGGTTTTGATCCCATCAATTGGTCACATGCCTTAGCAATCTTATCTAATCGTGGGAAATCATTACCCGATATGGTAAGAGGGAGGGTCCCTGAAGGGCTGGAAATTTTTTTTCACCTCTATATCCATTTTCTGAATCTTGACAGCCCCTTGGAGCTGAGGGTGGATCCAGGATGGGATTAAAAGGAGCAATAGGTTTGTGACCAGACTCTGGTGAGAGATCTTATGTATTGGGGCAAACTGTTAGGCTTTGGCAAGGCTTCGTTCTAGAAACATATACCCAGAACAAAACAGATGAATTATCAGACCCACAAGCTAGGCAAGTGGGGTTGAGGTCAAGCTGAAAGGGCCTAGTACAACAGTCCCTTGTAGGTATCAGTGTGAGAGTTGAATCTGGTTGTCAGGGCCCAATAAGTCAGTGGTTCCTCCTTACATGGAGAGAAGGAGTATAATAGACCATCTAAGTGATAGAGTACAGGGTACGCAATTGTAAATATCTCAATGAGTTTGACAGCTATGACTAAGCTATTACCAGATATAGAAAGGCAAATTACTGTTTCTTCAGGCTGAAGACCCAGATAAACATCTAGGTAGGCCTGTGAGGGTAAAGGAACACATCCTAATCAGACTAAAATTGATATATCTTGACCTGCTCATTATAATTACTGATGCACATCAAAAATCATTCCACATTGATCACTTTATCCTAGTGCTATCAATCCTATTGTTAATACCATGATCTAACACCTAAAAATAAATAAAATGGTTTTTTAAACAAGTGTGACATTTTTGACTCTTGAGCCCTTAGCCCTTCACCAATAGCCATGTTTTACTAGTAATCCTGAGTCAATGAGCTGGCATGTTGCAGGCCTTGGTAGCCTGGCACTAGCACTAGAGAGGATGGGCCAGGTCTTATCCATGATATCACCCATCCCTAGGAACGACTTGTCTTGAGTTGGCGTGGCCCATTCACCCCTGTTTCTCAGAGACTTTAGAAATTCCTGTGTTCTTGCAGTCGTCCTTCCAATCACAAATTCTATCTAGCTATTGAGCTCAAGCTAAGCTTCAGCTGTGCATTTTAATCTCCCAACACTTCTTATGCCTCATATGTGGATCCCTTCCTGCTGTCCATCAAACATTTTACCACAATCATGTGTGCAGGCTAAAGGACATCTTTAATTCATTTGTGTGTTCTTTGTTCTTGTTTGGGTGGCTCTGTGTTTGGTTGTGTTTGAAAGTTTGGAACATTTGTTTCCTCCCTTCATATAGTTGCAGTACATGTTGGATTAACTTCATTATATGTCTTTTCCCAATTTCTATCGCACAGGGCTGCTGCCTCTATTTTGTCCTCAAGTCCTGGCCCCTGCTGTGGGACCCAGGCACCTATTCTTTTGTTTTGTGTCAATGTTGCTCATGGAATTTCCCCCTTTCTGGATGATTTTCAGCGGAGCACACCTGTTCTACTGGGTTGCTGATTAGTCTCTGCACCTCCTAGAGGATGAGCCTTCTTCTCGCATCGAGCACTACTATGACCAACTCATTCCCTGCCTTGCTCTCATCATTCACTCTCATCGCACCCCGCTCCTTGCATTGATACTGGTTTGGTCAGCCCCCCTGCAATCATCCCCCCCCTCTCTGGCAAGCCAAATTTTACCATCTGATGTTAATATCCAAATCACCTTCAAGTTTTCTTTAGGCTGAAGACTTGTAATATAGTTAATGAGGGCTGTGGACTAGGTTTTAGGAGAATACATCCTAATCAGGACAAAAATGATGTAGCTTAATCTAGTCATTAAAAGCACTGATGACAATTAAAAAATGTTTTCACATTGATCACATTTAATTAAGGGCATCACTCCTAACAATCAAATGACTTGAATAAGCTTGACAAAATAAAAAAAGCTTAATAATTGTCTATATCATATAACTCAAACTATAGAAAAGCCATTTGTCAAATGCCCCTGTGTGGCGGAGAGCAGATGTGCTGGTTCCGACACACGGGTTGGGAGGCGAGATGGTCGGTCTCGCGCGGGAGATGAATAGGATGATGATAGTATTGACCAAGGAACTGCTAACTACGGACAACAGTATATCTAGTTGATCACAATGGCAACAGTTAGGGAAAGTAAAAGGAAATAAGGGAGGGAATGAGTAAGGGAATATGTGTAAGCGCTACACCCTGCAATGCCACTTTCCTGCATTGTAGGCAAATTTATAAGAATGTACTCCCTGCTAGGGTAGGAACATTTGTAAAATATTCACCACTACAGCTCCAATAGGGGTCTATAAGGGCAGCCCCAGAGGCTCCGACAAGAGTCCTAGCAGGCAAGGATCTAAAGTGTCATCGGCCCGTCCGCTGCAGCACTAGTGTCGGGCCATTGCAGGCCCACCACACACAGCATGTGATGACGGGGAACAGGCGCCCCAGTAGGAGGAACACACACGTGGGAAGCACATGACCAAGAACAACACATTGGGATGTGCTCAAATGGCCTGAAGGAGGCCAAAATGGAGATTCCCCTGACATCACTCTCCCCTTGAATGTGGTGTCCTGGCACATAGTTTGCATCTCTGATAGAGATGGCAGTTTGAACTGGCCCCAAAATAGTGTTTTTTTGGCCCAAAACCTGATGTAACTAAGGGCTATGTTTGGTTTAGAAACAGTGCCTATTTGTGTCACGGTTCGGGTCGGGCCGTCCGGGCCATAAGGCCGCACGGGCCCGCATACCGCCGCCCTCTTCGACAATCCCCCATTCTTCCAACCCCTTCCCTTCACCCCTGCGGCCCTACGCAGCGCCCATCCGATCCGCCCTGGGACCTGGCGCCCATCCGATCCATCCCTAATATCGTGGCATATAAAAACCGTACTTACAAGATGTAGTCGCTAGGCTAATATCGTCTATTCTCCGGGCGAATACCCATCCCTCGTGCTCCCAGACCCCTTCGAAGTTGGACCCCCCGACGCCCCGATACGGCCCGAGCCCGACGTTGACAGAATATTAGCCTCCCCCACGAACGCAAGAAGCGCGACAAATGTCTACCGAGCACGACAGTACGATGGGCACCCCCACAAACCAGGGGGACGAACGTGCCCGATTCATGGCCCTGGGCCATAACGAACAACAGGAGTTCCTGTTCGCCCATCTGGTCCGAACGAGTCAGGAGATGGAGCGACTCAAAGCGGAAAACACCGCCCTGACGAATCGACAAGTGGTCCTCGAGGCCGAGCTGTCCCGAGTAAACGGGGAATACGCAGCTGTACAGCAGGGAGTCATGCAGAGCTACGATCTGCTCCGCCAAGCCAGAGAGGACTTGGCTCATCAGCCCCACGGGGGAAATACACGAGTAACCGTCTCTCCCCCTAAGGAGTTCACGGGCGACGCCAGCAAAGTAGACGCCTTCCTGGCCGATTGTTGGTTGGCCTTCGAAGCCAACCCGAATGTTTACAACGACGAGGTGCGAAAGATTTCGTACGCACTCTCCTATATCAAAGGCGGGAACGCGGTCACGTGGAAAGAAAACGTCTCCCAAGCCATGAAGCTCCGTACCGCCGCAGCCTATACTACGTACGAAGGCTTCGAGAAAGCCTTCATCGCGGCCTTCCGCGGGGAAGCTCACGCCGAAATCGCGCAGCAGAAGATAGAAACCTTCGTCCAGACCAAAGACATGGACGCGACTAGCTACTTCATGGTCCTCGACTCTCTCAACAAAGTCGCGCACTACGACGACGTTAACCTTATTCGCGTCGCCAAGAACTGTATGCTCCGGGGCGTTACGAATGCGGTCTACCGAAAGGACACGCTCCCCGATACCTACAAGGCCTGGAAGGCAGAGGCCATCAAACAAGACGGCGCACTCCGCCGCTACCGCATTTTCGACGAAAGCCACAAGGTTAACCACCCTCGGGCCAAAACGCCCCCGACGGCGCCCGCCCCCCGCCAAGAGCGGGCTCAGCAACCACAACCCGTTCAACGGTTGGGCCCGAAACGCAGCGATCAGTGCCACTGGACCGACCGTGGCCGCACCCCGAGGAAACGGGGCAACCACGGTCACCGGACCCTCGACGGGACCCGCGCCTATGGAGATCGACCGGGCCCAGGCCCCCGCTACGGCCCGCAGCACTTGCTGCTACAACTGCGGCCAAGAAGGACACATCAGTCGGATGTGCCCGAACTGGGCCGCATTGGCAAACCAGATCCGCGCTATCTTCTCCGAGTTTGTCAAAGATAACGCG